GCATCCAATGTCTCCTTTAAAATTAAAATATTATAATCTTTATTCAAGTGATGAAGGATTTCGAAAGTGTGACAGTAATCAGTGTTGAGTACTACTGTAAGGTTTACCCTGCCTGGTTTACATGTTTGAAAAGTAATCAAAAAGTAATCAAATGTAATCAGTTACATTACTTTAATGAAGTAATTGAAAAGTTACACTACTTATTACATTTTAAGTAGGGTAACTTGTAATCTGTAACCTATTACATTTCCAAAGTAACCTTCCCAACACTGCATGTATATTAGTAGTAGTAGTAGTAGTAGTAGTATTTTAAAGAAGGCTTTTTATAAAAGAAGTGCTCACCAAAGCTTATTTTTATGTAATATTTATGATAAAACTGTAAAATTGTGAAATGATATTACGACTTCAAAAAAAAAATGTTTTAAGTAATTTATTCCTGTGATGGCAATCTGAATTATCAGCAGCCATTACTCAGTCTTCACACGATCAGGTATCGCATGATCTTTCAGAAGTCATTCTAATATGATATGAATAGGCTGATGAATAGAATTTCAAAAGAACATACATTATTTGAAATAGAAATCTTTTTTAACATTGTTTGCATGTCTTTAAATTTGGATCAATTTAATGCACCCTTGGATATTTATTCATGTATTTTTGAATAAATAAATATATAGGACAAAAAAGGCCCCAGCTTACCATGTCTTGTCCAAACTTCCTTATGTAACAGTACGGCCATTTGAATAGCACTTTCTTAGTTTTAACGTCCTTCAGGAATAAGCAGTCCGGCAGGGGAGTGAGGATATATTCCCCATACAGATTGCACCGAACAGCAGCCTCTGTGGCCACTGCCATGACCAGAAAATCTTGAACTGCAAGAAAGAAAAAAAAAAACATGTGTTGGCCCAAAATGAAATCAGAAAAAAGTGAATATCTTGTGCTATGTGAACAATTCATACAAGTTTGGAACATCATAAAGGGTGAGTAAATTGCATTAGGATGAGCTATTTCTTTAAATATTTGCATCCACTCCCACAATTTCAAATTATGAACTTTCTGTAAGAGTGCAAGGACAATATAGCTGAATCAAAAAAAAATTTGTTTCACTGAAACTTAGACTTGCACCTGAAGTCAGCAGGGAACACAACCTATTGCTTTTCCTCCGGAGATAGCTTTGAAATTCAAAATTGGATGTCCACAGGAGCAGGAAGAAGCCAGAGAAGGCAGCCCTGTCTAAGTTCAGCCTTTGTTCCTTCGGTTGATGTTCACGGCTGTCATTTTTGCACCTTTGTATGTCTCCTTCATTTGATATTTTAGTAACACCTCTCTGTTAAGATAAATTATCATTCACTAATAGCTGTGCTTAAGTATTCTTATCTGTGCAAGCAATGTTTTTCCACTGAATAAATAATCATTCCGGTTTGAATGCACATGAGTTTGTTTTTACTCCTGTTATAATGTTATTAAATCATATGTATGAGGGGATCCACTCCCACAATTTCAAATTATGAACTTTCTGTAAGAGTGCAAGGACAATATAGCTGAATCAAAAAAAAATTTGTTTCACTGAAACTTAGACTTGCACCTGAAGTCAGCAGGGAACACAACCTATTGATTTTCCTCCGGAGATAGCTTTGAAATTCAAAATTGGATGTCCACAGGAGCAGGAAGAAGCCAGAGAAGGCAGCCCTGTCTAAGTTCAGCCTTTGTTCCTTCGGTTGATGTTCACGGCTGTCATTTTTGCACCTTTGTATGTCTCCTTCATTTGATATTTTAGTAACACCTCTCTGTTAAGATAAATTATCATTCACTAATAGCTGTGCTTAAGTATTCTTATCTGTGCAAGCAATGTTTTTCCACTGAATAAATAATCATTCCAGTTTGAATGCACATGAGTTTGTTTTTACTCCTGTTATAATGTTATTAAATCATATGTATGAGGTTTTTTTTTTATATGAAACATAGAAAAAATTAAGTAGGAACTTACTACTGAATCACAACAAAAAATAAGCTCATATGCATGCAAAAAGATAGTATTTATGACTTAAATGCATATGTACGTCACCACAAATTTGGAATTATGAATCAAAAGTCAGATGCAGTGAGAACGCATGACAGACGCAATAGATGCATCATCTGTAGTTTACGGTAATTTTGGTGAAATGTATGAGATTATTTATTTTTTCATTTCAAATAAAAGTAGCTAAGTTGCATGTACAAAATACGATGGCATTTTACAATTATGGTAGATTATATAACAATTTAGTTTTCAGCACCTTCAACATGATCTCATGAGAAAATTATATGCTATTTTACAAGGCGGCGATTTCGTGTTATTCCGTGTGAATCATACAGAAATGTATGGTTTTTAGGGGAAAAAAACCCATAAGCATTAAGGTCTACCCCTAAACCTAACATAAGCAGCTTGTACAAAAACATATAACAATGTACGATTTAGCCAATACAAAGTAGCCACCAATTTGCCTAAATGTAAAATAGTTACGAATTGTAATGAGAGACACCTTCATAACTTGAATAAAAACATAAAAAAGCAAAAACACAACTAATGCACTTTTTTTTTTATTCATCAAAATAATGTAGGCATTAACAACCTTGCTGTATTTATTGTGGAAAAGGTACATTGCTAACTTGCTCGACCAAAGTTATCTAAACATACCTGATGTATTAATTACGTCTTCCCAAATAGTAAATATGAACTTTCCAGGAGGACCTGAATGCACCAATATCGCACCAAAACTAAATCCATCCACTGACTCTGTTTGCAAACCTAGTGAGCTACCTACATAGACAGCATAGCTACATTCTTGACACACATTAAAGGTTCAAGAATATAAGATACCTCATTTTGGCCAAATTTAGGGTGACCATATACGTCCTCTTTTTCCCAGGATTTCTAAATTGTCTAAGAAGTCCAGCTTTTGGCTTCTTTTCCTATAATTTAAGAAGTAGATTGACCAATAGCGTGCAGGCTTTGGTGCAAAGCAGAACTTGACAATTACTTTTATGTGTTCATTTACGGTAAATTGACTAAATTGCCCATCTTTATTTCAAGGGCGTCTGATGAGATCTGGAGAGTGTTAATCAGTCTCTGATTGCTGGGTCACTGATTAAAAAGAGTCTTAACGACCCCGGTTCATCAGCGTATTGCGCAGATCACAAGAGACGATCCATTAATTAGCCATGAATTTTGTGCGGTAGCGTAATTGTGCATATGTATATATTTATTTTTACATTTCCTTAGTCTCATCTGTTTACTGATTTCAAACAATGCATGATCAAAAACATTTCTGCCACTAATTGGTTGTCGGTTCGTGTTCTTGGCTTTAAACTCACAGCCATATAAAGGCACGGTCAAACCACAGCAGCACCAGCGGTTTTATTAAAGACCACCACAAGGCCAGTGTGAAGTTCACCTCAATGTGAAACTGCAGCATCTGTATAAATAAGATTCAGGTACTGCACAGCGGATTCAGTAGATGAGTCGGAGGCTTCTCGGAAAGAAAAGGCACGATAAATGCAATCCCAACTGTGAGCTGCTGAGCTGAGAGTCTTGACTCTCCAACTATAGATCAGAGAAAAAATACCACTTCCTTCCTATCTGGCCCATGGGTGTTCACACTGAGCATCTATCGGCTAAAAATAATTACAGGAACTGCAATACTTGGGTTGCTGACCCAAAATCTATCTTAAAAAAATCTTCCTGGTGTCAGTTTTGCTAAGTTCAGAATAGTGTACTACCATAGTATTACTATTGCAGTGCAGTGTGCAGTATGAAAGTGTGAACAATATGCAGATTTTCTGTATGCATGAAGCTCTCAGATAAACTACTACATTTGTCTAAATGTGTGGACAGAGCGCATGACATGAAACACTGTATCCCAAAGTGCAGTGCATCTGACTTGCATTTTCAGGGTGACAAATTTGTACCTTTTATCTCAGTCATTGTTTGAAATATAAATAATATTATATAATATTTTTTGCATTCATACTATTTATATATAATTGTATTAATATTATCTCTTATATAATATAAATAATAAATATTCTATCATTTATGTTATCACTCATATTTATTTTATATAAAGATATCTCTTATGTTAGACTGCATTTGTTTGATTAAAATACAGTAATATTGTGAAATATTATTATAATTTAAACTAACTGTTTTCTATTTGAATATGTTTAAAAATTTAATTTATTCCTGTGATGCAAAAGCTGAATTTTCAGCATCATTACTCCATAAACATTTCTTACATAAATATTTCTTGAGCAGCGTATCAGCATATTAGAATGATTTCTGAAGGATCATGTGACACTGAAGACTGAAGTAATGATGCTGAAAATTCAAACTTGCTATCAAAGGAATAAATTATCATTTAAAATAGTCATATAAAATATTCAAATGGAAAACTGTCATTTTAAATTGTAATAATATTTCACAATATTACTGTTTTTACTGTATTTTTGATCAAATAATTGCAGCTTTACTGAGCATAAGAGACTTCTTTCAAAAATGCTAAAAAACTTCATAATCTGATTCCTGCGGCCTTCAAAACCAGTTGCATAAACACTTGGAAACGTTCAAAGACCAGTCAGATAAATCATTGCTGCTGTTTAATGTAAACACGAAGACAGATGGAGAAAACGCCTCATCTGCTTGTTTGCCTCTCTGATTACGAGAATTTCACTCCATTTAGTTTCCACTTGCTCCCAGATTTTGACTTTGATGTCGAGCTTCTATACAAAACATCATAGAGCACCCACAACCTAGCGACTTGAAACATTCTCGCTCTATCAGGGGGTGGTTGCAATCCAATTATCCCTAAACTGCTGCAAGCCTGACCTCTAGCATCTTTAAACTTACCATCACACCATCACTTTGAATTGAAGAGACTGGCAGCTAGACTGTGAAGCATTTCAGGTCAGCTTGACAACTAGATTGAGATCTTTTCCATACAAAGATCTCTTCATTTGTACGTTTTATATGAATAATAGCCATTTTGTCAAATGCACATTGGAGAAAATGAAATATAAGAGACAGTTCAGAGAAGGGTGATGAACATAATCACTTCATGTTCTGCCAAGAATTAAAAGCTATTTGCTCAGGCCTCAACCAAGGACACAAGAAATAGAGATTACGTTCAGAAGTGCATACTCTTATTATTTCGGGTATGTATGTAAAGTATGCAAATGTTCTGTATGAAGAGAATATGATTAATGTGTAGTATGCAGCTGTGTGTGGATACTGTATTCCACAATTTAATGCATCTGACATTACCTTGCATTTCCAGTGTAATAAAAGTATTTGAAGCAATTTTTTTAGGGATAGTTTTTAGGTGAATTTTCCCTTCAACATATCTTTCTCGACTCAATATTTGATTGTTGTTGTTTTTTTACACAAATTGGATTAAAAATAATTTCTCTATACTTTTTATAACTTGTTCTACAGTTTTGTGAGATTTACACATCAAGGACAAGTTCAGAATTCATGCACCAATCATAATATATACACTACCATTCAAAGGTTTGGGGTCAGTAAGATTTTATTTTTTAGAACTTAGTACTTTTATTCAGCAAGGATGTGTTAAATTGATCAAAAGTGACAGAAAAGGCATTTTATACAAAAGATGTATTATATTTATTTGTATATGTTTGTTTTTACACTTTTTATTTATCAAAGAACCCTAAAAGTGTATAGCATAGTTCACAAAAAAATTATTAAGCAGCAAAAAAAATTTTTTTTTAACAGCTTGCATCCCTCTGCTTCATTTCATTTGTCGTCTCCCCTGAATGAGTTCTCTCTATACATACACCTGAAAACAGTGTCCCCTCTT